GTGTTTTTTTCTGATTAGGAAAATCTTCAGGTTTTACAGGCCAAGAATGCAAGCCTGTGTAGGGCTGTAGACTGGCTGTACAGCACATGCAGCTGGTGCAACTCGAGCCCTCAGCTCTCATTTGCAGCAGATGAACATTTGTTTTCTTCTTTACTTTTTCTATGGCCTTTGTATAGTATTTCTTGTTAGTTTCATTCTTTAGACATCAAACAAAGTGAAGTCCTAAATTATACAACTGGCGGCTATACATTGACTGGAACCTATGAGGAATTTATATTTTTCTGCTTTTTAAAAATATGTTTACTCTGCTGTCTTGGTCACATTCCAGTGTAACATTCACTGTGACTATATGTCTCATTTTTGTTACTGAGAACATCTGCTATTTGTTCCTTTTCATAACAGTGCCTCTCCTCCATGCCAAGTTTTGTTGATAGGATTCTCCCTACATAATACCTGCAGTTTGTAAACAGTTTGTTTAAAAAGATCTGTATTTACTCATCTGCAAAATACTGAATGTGTCTTACTAGTTGGGGGTTCTGAATCTGTTCATTTAATGATTTTTCTGTAATACAGAACATGGATTTTAAGAGAAAGCACTGCTCACTGAGATGCAAAGAAATAAACCAGCTGTTTTTGAGATTAGTAGTATAATAAAGACTGAGATCTCAAACCAAAGAGTAGAAAACACAAGAAATACAGGAGGTGATAAGGGCATACCAGATTTATTGCATTCCTCTAGATGTATGATGCCAGTAAACACTATTTTATATATAATATATGTATATTATCACATGATGTTAAGATATATATTAAAATACCTCTTATTTATATAGTCAATTTGTCAGTCCACGTGTATAATTGGTGTATTTTTTGTCATACATTGTATTTAAAGGCTAATTATTTGGATTTCTGAGGCTTGAGTTCTGAGATACTTGCAAGATTGCCTTCAGCCTTTCCAGAAGACTAGTCTGATGTAGGGGCAGCACTGTTTGAGCCTTAATCACATAGTAAAAAACTGCTTGAAGTTCCTTTGTATTTGTATCAAGGAATTTAAAAAATAAAATAAATTTTAAAAAAATAACAGTCAATAAAGTACAGAAGGTTGTAACCTGTCTGTTTCCATTACAGGTTATTCTCATGTCATGTACAGAATTTGTTTTGAACTCCCCCTCACATCCCAGCAAGTATTATCCATGAGACTGTAAAGCTCTCTTCTGTTGTATGAATTTATCCCTGTTCAAAGCTTGCAAAGGTAAAAGTCTAGTCTCTAATAAATTATGATTTATTAAATAAATTGTCATGGGTTTTCTAGATAAGATTTAATGGACTGCTGAGCACAGAGGATGTATAATACAGTACAATTTTTGTTGTTGTTCCTTTCAGGAACATGACCATCACCCAGGAAACGACCACCTGAGAAAAACCCAATTCTGGTTAATTTGTGTTCTCTGATATTGTTCATAAATCAAAGCATGAGAGCCTAGATTTGGGGGAGGAGGATTAGGCTGACTTTGTGCCCTTTCTAAAGCAATAACCGAGGCAGTTACTCACTCGTGTGCCTATTTCTGTCACATCTTCATATGGTTTAACTGCACTTCTGCCACCTTGGACAACCAAGTGCAAGGAAGATCAGAAATAGAAAGCTGACATGTTTTTGCTTGAGGGACATCATAACAGCAGGAGTTCTGGGACAATTCAGTGAAGCTGTCTAATGAAACTCAGTGAAACTGTGCTAGTTAGGATGCTTCATCCTGTCTTTTCATTTTCCTCACTTTGCCAACACAACTAATCCCCACTAATTTGATATCTTTCGGCATTTTGATTTCAATGTTAAGAAACAAAACTGTATTTAAAATTGCTATTGTGATATCTGCTTTGATATTGAGTCCTTTTGTCATTTGATATAGTGGCGATTCAGTATTCGCACTTCCTAAGAGACATAATCATGTTGAATTACCTCACAAATGTGTTGAAAGGTGTTGAATAATAGGTTGGACGAAAAATGCCATGAGGTCACTTTCAGGCACAGTTTTGTGTACTATGAAATTCGGCAAACTCCCTGTAATCCCTCCTGATGCTCTTTGAACAAAGTTCTCCATCACAGAAACAACAGTGCTACATGGAGAGTTCTGCTGTCAGCTTTGTTCTGCACTAGAGACCAAGTTTTTGAAACTTTGACCAAATTCAGCTGCCAGTTGCCTTAGTGCAGTTTTGGACTTATAAGGTTGCTACAATACTGTTTAAAAATCCTCTGACCCAAGTAGTTGAGGATGACTGATATTTTTTAGCATTTTTGTCAGCATAGTGGTAACCACGTAGGGAGGAAAAGTAAAAACCAACCAACAAACAAATCCCACAAAAAAACCCAAGTGCAAATTTCTGAGAAGATGCTTGCAGAGAAGAGGCAGTGCATTCAAAGTGAATAAAGTGTGTAAACTGGGAAATACCTTCTATTCTAGCATTCCACATAGCCACAGCATATTCAGAGTGCACAGGTTAAGTGAAAAGGCTTCTGCTACTTGTCCAAACACTGAATAGCTTGTGAAACCAGAACGGGCGACTATTTTGGAACTATTAGAATCGGTCCTTAAAATCTGAAAGTAATTGCTTGGCTGGACTGAGAACCTACGAGGAAGTACCATGGTTAGGAATCAGATTTCATCAATCAAAAACCAAGTCTTCCACACAGATATGTTAACAAGGATAGATCTTCTATCGGTGACATTTGAGCAGCTTAACCACTCTGTTGAATATTTCTTTGATTTTGTTTTATGGTAATGGAACCTGACACGCAGATTGCTCCCTATATTTCCATTTGCTACATGTTATCTTGTCTTCCTACAAAGAACACAGCTGACACTGAAGGTAGTTTTCAGCCCTGTAGTAAAAACCTGGCAAATACTTCTGCTAATGTGCACAGCAAAATGTAACACAGCTCATTCCTGCCGTGGTTAATTGGGCTCCACAAGACCGAGTGAATGTTGTCAGTACAATATTGTACAACTGCTCATCAATCTAGAATGGGAATCTAACAACTATCTGAACAGAATTTTTCAGTATCAGACTGGTTAAGAGTGTTTTCAGCAATCCCTTTACAAGGAGGATGAAACAGTTTCTATCATATAAAAATCCACATCTGGAAAAGTATAAGCAGTCCCTTTTTTTCCTTTGACTTTGGTCAGCTTTTTAGATGAGAAGGAAGGATGGATTGTCAATACAACAAACAATTCCTCAGTCTTGTGAATTTTATCATTTTTGCACGTGTAACGTGAGTGGAAAAGCTACATTTGCACTTGCCATCGTGAACTGCAGTGTTCTAACTCTGTCTGCAAGTGATTTGCTTCTCTGTCACGTGTTGTAGCTGATTTAACTCACATTACTGCACTTACAGACATGCTTTTAAGAAATACGAATGGCCCCAAGAGATCTCAACACAACAAAAATATTCTCGCTAGATCCTACTAGACCTAAATTTATCTACATGTAAGTACAGGTCCACACCTTCTCTGGCAGCGTGGGCCACAGAGTGCTGAAGTGACAGGAACACTCTAATTGCAGTTGTAGCTCAGGGTGGTTCCACTTGTTTACATTTTCTGTGCCCCACATGCAACAAGCTGTACTTGCACATATATATTATGGCTTGGCAGAGGCAACATTTTCCCCCAGTATGTCCATGGTGTTTAAAATGTAGTCATCTTCTAATGGCCTTGCTGTTTTATTAGTATTTGTCATTATATAGCACATGAACATTTCTAAATTTGGCCATTCATTACAGAATCCTGTGCAGTTCTGCCTTCAAACATGTACACTTCAAATTGTTAAAGTGCTAGCACCAGGGATTTTACTAAACCTCTAATTTTAAAAGAAATCGCTGCATGAATTTACTGTGTTTAATATTAGAGCACCTGTTAGACATAGTATGGCCTGGAAAGATCAACTGCAAAATGATTTATGATTATGTGTATCTTGCATAAAAGGATAAAGGCTGAGTTATGTATTTTATGTTAAACACGTAGTGATTATCCCAAAACTAGGAGGAAAGAGAATTCAAACTACTCTTAAAGAAAGCATAGCTTTTAAGTGATGGGAAAGCACTCATAATTCTCATGACAATGTGGAATTGCTTGAAGATGCAGAGCACTTCACCTTCATTAAATTGCTTTTTAAAATAAATACTTGGGGGGGTATTATAATGGAGGTTTCATTACCATTTCGGAGGATGCCGGTGTGGCAGTGCCTGCTCACACACTCAGCGCAGTTCGGAGATGGGATTGCTGCCCTCGCACGCTGCAGTGGTTGCACCGGGAGCAGCGGGACCGTGCCCTGCCCCGGCTGGAGCGTGTGCTGCTGTCCGCGCACAGCCCCGCAGGGGACTCGGGCCACGGCGGGGCCGCTCCCGGCGCTCCCTCCACCCCCGCCACCCTCTGCTCCGCTGAACGGCCACCAGCTCCGCTGCCAGGGCTGCCGTGTGCGGATGGATTACAGCCCTCAGCCCCCGGGCCGGACACCACCCTCAGCCCGGGGATGCATT